GATTACATTAGTTATCTTATTCGAATAATGTTAATACTTGTAAATATTGTTAGGCATTCATGATTATAACTTATGTTAACAACAAATCAAGTTCCTTTCATAGCACAGGTGTTAGTTATACCATACAATATGGACTATAAAAGTGTCAAGTATTTGTTGTACCAAATTTTATACAATATAAATTTAGATTAGTCATTTAACAAGCAAAGTATTAAAGAGTGGACAAGATAACAAATACAAAACATGTTAGTATCAAACATTAAAGTCCATGTTAAGTTTACACTATACTTATTCTTACACCATTAGTGTAGCATTTTCATCTTTACATAATAAACTTAGCTAAACATAATAAAAAAGAGAAATATAAATAAACAAGATAAGAACATAAATAAGATAAAAGATAACTAAGTAAAGAAAAGGAAATGAAAACTATAAACAAGATATTAATAAAAATAAAACTTAAAAATATAAAAAGAGAAAGCAAGAGCATGATCTTGATCTGGAAACCAAGATGCCTAAATGTATGAAAAATACCTCCTTTTATAGGCTAAAATTGGGAACTATTGATTTAATGACTAATTGATGAGTGGGTGGTCAACTCTTGACTTGGTGACAATCTTTATCTTTTTTTGTCTAACCAAAATATCATTAATAACGTCAGAATTGAAACCACTTGAAAACATGAACATTGTAGGAAATTGTCTCAGCTTTTCAAGGAAAAAAAATGGAGGTCATTTGAACTTTTAGAACTCCAGATATAGCCTAAAAATTGAGCAGTGTTCGTGCTACAAGATATATTTGGATTTCTTCGTTGTTACTAAAATTTGGACTTGAAAATGATCTTTTTAAATCTTGGGCTCCTATAAAATTTGTAGGCCTATGTCTTACCTTTCCATCCATCTAAAGTAGACCTAAATCCAAGATCTACAGCTTTAGATATGACCCAATTACAGAACAGTGTTCTAGTTTGGACTGCACCAGCATCTCTTTTCTAAGTTTGGCCATCTTTTTGTCCTTTCAATTTAAGTTCTTAAATTCATCAATCAATTATTTCATTTATGTGATAAGTCTACATTTAAAATGAAAATTTACCATAAATTAAAGGTATTTTATATTATTAGATATGTTATTATAAAACATGTTTTAATTAAGGAGTTATTGATACTTCAAGTGCAAAATGATGAATGGTGATTTCTTTTTTCATTTTTAGGAAACCTATAATAGCCAGTTAAGGGAGAGATATGAGAATGATCATTTGACTCATTTATATTTCGATCTAGATTTGTGGATGGAGGTGAAATCATTTGGTGGACCCGATAAAAATCGAGTGTACGGGCTCTCTAACACTATGACCAAGAACTTGCAGTCAGCTCGTAGTGTCTCTACTATTAGGATCTTCAAATTAGTATCGAGCACCCAATCTGAGGATATCATAGCCTTGAAACAACACATGGATAATCTCACAAAGAAATACAAGTAACTCTCGGTGAATTATAAACAACTCAACCAAATGGTTATGAACATGACTTCACATAGTGATGATACATGTATGTCGTCTTTTTGGTTGTATAACAACCAGCCTCCTCCTCTAGATTTGTCATCATGCCAATTTTATTTTATTTTTGAAATACATTCAATTTGTAATCAATATTATTTAATTTTATTTTTTTGTTCTTAACATTTAATAAAAATTTATTTGCATAATTTTTTGTTCTTAATGTTTAATAAAATTTTATTTGCATAATTGGTTTTTTTACTATTAATTTATATTATTTATTCTAAATCATTTTTTTTAAATAAATACCTATCAAGAGATTTACCAACGGAATGTATCACCAATGAATTTACAGACAGATATAATCTGTTAGTATTTCATAAACTTACCAACACATGTACTGATGAATAATGTCCGTCAGCCTTTCATTGATAGCTAAAAAATATTTAATATATATTCCATTATCACCAACGGGCTAAATCCATTGGTAATGTTCCAGCATGAAGTTTTTTTTGCGCAATTTCTATTTGTAAAACAATCGGTAATTTTTATTTTTTTACCGATAACATTAGCAATGAAATGTGGTATTACCGATTGATGTTATGCTGACAGATGTTTTCCATCAGCAATTTATCGACTAAAATTACCGATAAACTCTGAATGTCAAACCGACAGAATATGTCCGTCGGTAAAATTATTGTAGTGAAAGATATGAGAAATGTGTTTTTAGGTTGAAATGACTTAAAAATTGAGTTTTTTAGACAAAAGAAATGTTGCTTAATTTTTCAACCACCATAGTGATGGGCGAAATTCAGGCTTGTGGATGACACATTGTCTGCATTGCCTACTTTTTTTCTCAAAAAAATAAAAATTGACAATAGGTTGTCGATCCCTTTAAAAAATAAAATAAAAACCAAACTCAAACACGTAGGGTTTGAAGGCTCACCTACACGATTGGGCTCTTCATTACCATGGGTCAGGCATGATATATATATATTGAATTTGGTTGAATACATGGTTCGGATTATAAGCATGACTAGTTAAGCCGCAACACTCTCAATATTATTTTTTTCTAATATTGGTTTTTTTAATTAATATCTTTTTTGTAACATGTTTGTTTTATATATTGAATTTGGTTGAATACATGGTTCGAATTATAAGCATGACTAGTTAAGCCACAACACCCTCGATATTATTTTTTTCTAATATTGGTTTTTTTAATTAATATCTTCTTTTTTAACATGTTTGTTTTTTTAATATTTTTTAAATATATGTTTCAGTTAATATCTCTCCTATGTGATTTTGTTTTCGCTTATTTAACATTTTTTGATATAGATTGTTTTTAATGGTGCTGTGTGTATTTGATTTTTGAAAAGATTATTTTTATTCATCTATATTTATTTTAATCTTTTATATAGATGAATTTTATTTTTAAAAATAAAAATATTTACTTTCATATAATATTTCTAATATATGCATTCTTATTTTTTTTCTTTCTTTTATTTTATTCAATCAATTTAATTCATGTGTCTATTTCTATTATTATTTGATTAAATAAAAAACTAATTTAAAAAAAATCAACAAACACAGTTGATTAAATGTTGTGTTTTGTGAAATTAAATATTTTAATCTATGAATGTCTCTTGATTTTTTCAGTTTTATTTTTAATTATTGTTAATGATTTTTTTTATTTATTAACATATATAATTTTCAATTTATTTAATTATATATATGCATGATTTTTTTAATTTGATGTTAGAATTTTTTTTATGTACAAAAACATGTTAGATATACAATATTTTTATAGGAGAAAAAAATATTTGGCCCACGGAGAGTTCTCATCAAATAACTAGTACTAATTATTGCTTGAGATATTGATATCTAGGTACTTTATTAAAAGGATTAAAAGAATGAAAATCAAGAGGATTCATGGTTGTACTGTATGGTTCTGAAGGTTTTTTGTGGTTATTTTTGCTTATTAGCATGTTTTTTTTTAATTGATGAAATAATATATTATAAAAAAAATTGGTGAAATAAAATAATTTATATATGACATGATTGAGAAACGTGATATATATAGCTTATTACTATCCTGAAATATTGATATATATATTTTTAAAAAAATGTAAAATGAACTACACATTAGAAGAGAGAAGAGGAGAGAGAAAAAAAGAAAAAATATAACGAAACTCTGATTACAGCAATACTAAAATCACATCAAAGTACTATATAAAAAAAAAATTTGATGAAAGCTTAATTTGACCCATAAAATTAAGATTACTATACTCACAAATATTCAGGTTACTTGCTTCCTAAGAGAAAGCAGGACATATAAGTCAGCACAAGGTCATAAATGGCTAAAATACAACATGACATGCGCTTCCTTTTCAATTTATTTATTTATTTATTTGGGATTGGGATTTGTTGGATCTGTCTGTTGACTACTGATATCCATTTATTTAAAATACAACACGTGTCTATGATTGCGTGTCTGTCTTCAGTGGATGTGTCGGGTAAAAATCGAACCTCTGAGCTGGCTACTCAGAGACACGTGTCAACATGCCAACATGAACTCTCGGCCGGTTGTGTCCATGCTAAATGTCCAAAGAAGCTTCCATTAATTAATAATAACTGACCAGGTCGTGCTGGTTGAAATTTATGTTTTAAAATAAATTAGGTAAAATATTAATTTAGTAAAATCTATTTTTATCAAATTAGATTCTTAATCATTTAATCTGATTAAATTTTTTTATTAAAAAATAAAATATTATCAATTTAATAAAAATTATTAATCCAAATTTATTTAGCAACTCATAAATCACTTTATAAATAAGACTATTTCTGTGTTAATTCTTTCAAATATAAATAATAATTTTAGGAGATATATATATATATATACACACCCTTTTGAATTCTTATTTAAATTTTTTATCAAGGTTATAGCAATAATTATTTTTAAAATATATGAAAATAATATTTATTTATTTTAAAATAATAATTTTAACATCAATACATTAAATAATCTGAAAATATCATAAAAATTAATTTAAAATAAAATAAATAAAATATAATTTATAATTTTTCAAAAATATTTTTAAAATATAAAATCACATCAAAAGTAATCTATTTTGACCTTATATGGTAGATTGGCGGCTCACAAAATTTATCTATCCAAGAACACACTCTGATACAGCTCAGCTAGGAATTGTTTACTTAGGTGGTGATGTGTATGTGTGGGCCACCGAAAATTGTACCACCACAATCGTTGAATTGGCTGGCAGTTAAAATAATTGCATACTTTTTCACTACTCGGTTGGTTTTTTAATACGTGTAAGCACTAAAAAAATAGATCACATGGAATAACCAACCCCTGTGTATGAACATCCCTCTCTCATTCTCTTAATTTGTTTGTTTCCTAATGTGTGTGTGTGTGTGTGTGTATAACTTACGTCTGCTCCCACCCTAGCCTCCTCTCTTCGCAAAAACTCTTTTCTCCTGGTAAGGAATGGAGCAAGTGCATCTCTTCACGAAGAAACTAAAACCAACCCATATAAGCCATACTCTTTCAGTTCCGACCCATGTCCTCGAGGCTTTTCCGATTCCTGAAGGAGCCCATATTTTGAATTTCGAAGCAGTCGATGCTACTGATAATACATGGAGGTTCTGCTTGTCAACCCGTCTGACTGGGGCATACGCAAAACCCGTTCTTCTACGCTCTTCTTGGGGTCGTTTTGTAGAGCAGAAAGGCCTTGCTCCCGGAGACAGGGTTGTCTTCTTCATGCAGAGAGACGACGAAGCTAATGACAATATGATCAGGAGGTACACGGTTAGAGCTCAACGAAAGGTGATGATCTTGATGGGGCAAGATGTTTGGGTTGACGTCGAGGATCTTCCCCTACATGGTCTTTGAAGAGTTTGACATATAAGCTGATGGCACGAAAAGAGCCTTTTCCACTCCACTGGTAGTTTGTTATAGGGCCTGGTTTGTAATTATATCGTTTTTTCTTAAAAATTTAATTATTTTTAAGAAAATTAAAACCTTAGATATCTAGTCTTTTCCATTCGCTTTTCTTGTTAATTTATGTCTGCTAGCTCCTCAGTGTCCTATGAGCTTTGAATAGAAAGAATACAATGCAGCTAATAAAAATAGCTCAAAAATGGCGTCTTCTATAACCCTTGTCTCTATCTACCAAACTATTGACTGGAGTCCGTTCACATTGGAGAAATGAAGTGTGACTATCTCTACATGACATGACTAATATTATATTCAGTTCCAGATTTTAACAGCGATTATAATTTAAAATTTTTAAAAAAACTATATTTAAATAATATTTTCTATTTTTAAAAAATTATTTTTTAAAATTAACATATTAAAATGATTAAAAAATATATAAACTTTTTTAAAAAAATTTAAAATTTATAAAAACACAATTTCAACCATGTATTCATATAAATTCTTAATAATTCAACATGTATGCTTTTGTAAGATTATAATCAGATAAAATCTTTTTTATTGATATAAATATATTAAAAACATTTTAAAATATCTGAAAAAACATTAATTTGCATTAATTTGATGCATTCATTCCAAATACATTTTAAAAAAGCATTGCAAAACATAACTTAAATATCCGGATGAATATATTAGCTACACAACTGCAACTGAGACTGAGCCTTTAATTCTTGAAGCAATCCCATGTCAGAAACGCTTATCATTAGAACGTTCAAGACTCGGAGGGTTAAATGATCGCTGCAATGGTGGAGGTGGCGGTGGCGATTTGTTGACAGTGATGGGGCAGCACTGAAATATATTGTTAGGAGGAGTCGCAAGTTAATTTGCCTCAGTGAGGATGAAGAGGATGTCATGACAGCCGGAGTTGACCTAATAAATACTAGATTGGTAGATGTAATAATTTAAAATGATGTATTGTGGTTTTACACATATAAAAATACAACATGTTTTATATTTATTTTTAAAATTTTTAAAATGATTAAAATAAATATTATTAAGAAATTAAATAATTAAATTATAGAGAATAAAATATAGTTTCAATTAAAAATTTATTTTCTTATCCATATATTTCATTTATGTTTTATGAAAACATGTATTTTTTTATGGATAACATAATCTTTTGAATGAAAACCTAACAAAATTTAAATAAATATTTTCAAGAATTGAAATTATTTAAATCAATAAGGAAAAAAAATCTTTAACCAAATGTCTCCTTTTTATTAATTGTTTTTCCTAGAAAAAATACATGTTTTTTTATGAAAACAAAATAATTTTTTTTTAACAAAAAGCTTAGCATCACATGAGAATTAAATTTTAATAAAAAAAATACTATCATGAATTTTTTTAATCAAAAAATATAAAAGAATAAAACAATTATTAATTTCATAAAAATATATAAAAACTAACATAGTTTGTATTGTAGCCACGGTTATAAAACTTGAACCAAAATATTGGTCCACTTGGAACTAGCTAAGGTTGAATTGGAATTTATGGTGATTGATAAAAAAAAAATAAAGGAAAAAATTAAATTAGTTAAAAATCTCAGTTGATTCATGATCATATTTACTTGGATAAAACCTAATAAAAACTTATTTATTTATTTTGAAGTTGTTTTATTTGTATAAAAATTTTATTTGATTTAACTTGAGTGAACCATTATAGCAAATAACTTATAACATGACTTATTTCTGACTAAAAAGCTGTGATTGTGGCATTTCTAGTAGGATATATATAAAGTTGAAATTTGATTTATTTAACTGATATTGAACCCAATTAATTAATTTTGTTCTTAACTAAAAAATAACAACCACAGTATATTAAGTTTTAAAAGCACACCTATTTTCTTTCACCGTTCTTTTTTTCAAAAAAAAAAAATATCTTTTATATATGTCCATATCATACAGGCAAATTATATATATTTACAATTACTAGTCCGCATATGAATAAAAGTTCGAAAATAAAAATACTAAAGCAAAGCTATTATCTTAATAATAAATACTAGATTGGTTGATGTAATAATTTAAAATGATGTATCGTGATTTTACACATACAAAAATATAACATGTTTTATATTTATTGTTAAAAATTTTAAAATAATTAAAATAAATAATATTAAGAAATTAAATGATTAAATTATAGAGAATAAAATTTATTTTCAATTAAAAATTTATTTTCTTATCCATATATTTCATTTATGTTTTATGAAAACATGTATTTTTTTATGGATAACATAATCTTTTGAATGAAAACCTAACAAAATTTAAATAAATATTTTCAAGAATTGAAATTATTTAAATCAATAAGGAAAAAAAATCTTTAACCAAATGTCTCCTTTTTATTAATTGTTTTTCCTAGAAAAAATACATGTTTTTTTATGAAAACAAAATAATTTTTTTTTAACAAAAAGCTTAGCATCACATGAGAATTAAATTTTAATAAAAAAAATACTATCATGAATTTTTTTAATCAAAAAGTATAAAAAAATAAAACAATTATTAGTTTCATAAAAATATATAAAAATTAACATAGTTTGTATTGTAGCCACAATTATAAAACTTAAACCAAAATGGTGGTCTAAAACTTGAAACAAAATGATGGTCCACTTGGAACTAGCTAAGGTTGAATTGGAATTTATGGTGATTGATAAAAAAAAATAAAGGAAATAATTAAATTAATTAAAAATCTGAGTTGATTTATGATTTTATTTACTTGGATATATAAAACCTAATAAAAACTTATTTATTTATTTGGAAGTTATTTTATCTAGACAACTTATTTATATAAAAATTTTATTCGAGTCAATCATCATAACAAATAACTTATAACCTATGACTTATTCCTGACTAAAAAGCTGTGATTGTGGCATTTTTAGTAGGATATAAAGTTGAAATTTGGTTTATTTAACTGATATTGAACTAATTAATTAATTTTGTTCTTAAATAAAAAATAACAACCACAGTATATTAAGCTTTAAAAGCACACCTATTTTCTTTCACCGTCCTTTTTTTCCAATAAAAAAAAGTCATCTTTTATATATGTCAATATCATACAGGAAAATTATATATAGTAACAATTACTAGTCCACATATGAATAAAAGTTCGAAAAAATACAAAGATTTTATCATTCAATCTCCATGAATGAACAAACTTGTCTTTACCTGGATCAGTCAAACCTAAAATGTCAATGTATGGACTAATTTCATGTGCAAAGTACTTCAAGACTGTATATATGAGGGAGTCACTATATGCTTCATTAATTTATTTTAAGGCAGTGTATAGCAAAAATGGAAAAGAAAATCATGGCTCCACAAACTCTTAAATTACAATTATATTATAGAGAGAATTGCGATTTCATGTTTCTGAATTGTTAACAATTTTTTGTCAATAGATAAGTTAAATTAACCTAACTAATAAAACCTGAATTAAATAGATTTTTAAAAACTAATAATAAAAAAAAATCCGGAAATGAAAAGAAAAATAGTAAGAATTAATATGAAACAACAACTTCCAGATTTAATTTGAAAAAAAAAACATCTTATAAAATATATATCTTTTATATATGTCCATATTATACAATATTTTTGTTGAGGCAAATTATATATAGTTACTATTACCAGTCCACATATGAATAAAAGTTGGCAGCAAAAATACAAAGATTTTATCATTCAATCTCCATGAACGAACAAACTTGTCTTTACCTGGATCAATCAAACCTAAAATGTCAATGTATGGACTAATTTCATGTGCAATAGTACTGTCGATCTGATAAACCAAGATTAACCCAGTCTTTGCTCGAGCAGCACGCACAGATCGAAATGAATTTTAGTTTCCTGGGTGGTCCATATATGCTCTTACTTAATTGAAAACTCCAATATTATGGCCACAAATTTCTTCTATGGGTTCCACATAGAGGCAGAGTCATGGAAACGAACAAGGGGAAGCACCGAGGAAACTTCCTAGTCGGAAGGTTCCTGGGAATTGCCTGGACCAGAAACCAAAGCATCCAAGTTTTTCCACAGCTATTACGTGTATTGATGTGGATAGCTTCTAATTAGTCTTTGTTTCCTAACATTCATCAAAGTTAATTATTAAAGGAGTTATGGTATGTTAAAACTTCGTTTTTTTTCTTTCTTTTTTTAAGCAATGAGGGCATGATTGTTCTGGCTTTTATTGAGTTAATTTATGGTGCAAAATTGTGAGATTTTATTAGTTATTTAAAGAAAAATTCTCTAAAAATAATTATAGAGTATTTTATCATTTTCTTGTTGGGTAATAAATTTTATATCCACTCTTGTCTTTGTGTCTATTTTTCAAAAAAAAAAAAGAATCACAAAGAATAATTAATACGGTGTCGATAGTTGTTCTCGGAACACCATTAATCTTTCTATTTTTCTATACAAAGAATAAGTTTCTTTTTTTATCATATTTTAAAGAAATCATTTACATTCAAAATAAATAAATAGTCTATATAGCAAATAAAAAATGATGTTTTGTTTGTTTAGATATAATGATGAAAAAAAATAAAGACAATTTTTTATAGGATTTTACGAGTGAAATACTGTCTGTATTTTTTATTTACTTCAATTTTCTCTGAATTTGGGCAGATAAATTTTGTGTGTATAAAGGAAGAAAGTTAAAGATTTATGTTAATTCGTTTCTTTATTTTCTATTTCTAATTTTAGCTTTCAAACAAAGAAAAGAGGCTTATTGTTATTATTATTATTATTTACACAACACTTTCTTTCTATTTCATTTATCTCCAAAAACATATACTATAATTGAGATCACATTTAACTTAAATGATTTAAGATTGAAATTTTGAACAATAAATATAAAACAAATCCACTTATCAAGAAGTTAAATTTCTACATAGGATAGCTATTTTCTTTTATTTTTAATATTAATATTCATAAAGTAGTGAAGTCACGAAAACTATAGCTCGCTAGATTTAGAAATTTAACTGTCATTACTCTTAAATGGTAAATCAATGGATACTTCTTTTTCATAGTAATTGAAATAGTACTAGCCTCATCTTTCATAGCCAAAATAATGTCTTATGTCGCCTGTTTTTTCTTTCACTTAATGTCCTCAACATTATATTAATTAATTTACGAGTGGATAACCCAGAAATTACACTCTGAAATTCTTGCTTCAATTTCTAAAACAATTGAAATAAAGTTTAGATTCGACGAGGACATGTACTTACTGCCAGTGATGGGCATGCTAAATGTCTACTGAAGCTTCCAATAATTAGTAAAAATGTTCAAATTTGATCATAGTTTTCAAGATTTTCATAACATAGGATAAAAGAAGGCTCCTTTAACAAGTTTGAGTTATGATAGTGAAATCATGACCATTGTGATTGGGAACCCTTTCAATAGGATATATATATATATATATATGTTCAATAGGATTATATGTAGTTGTTAAATTTGGGTTGAGTTCAGAAATTCAAGATTTAAAATTTAATTTAAGTTTAGTTTTTAATTATATTGGACAAAACATTAACATAGTCAAACTCATTTAATCTAATAAGATTTTTAATGACTTGATTAACCTAATTAAATCATATCATATTTAATTAAGAAAAAAATGCCTTGAAAAATCTAGAATATAAAGTCTAACTTAAATCAGATTTATAACTAAACTAGATATGATAAATAATTAATTCGTTAAACTTGTGTGGTCTAATTGAATTTTTAATGGTTCTATTGATATAATTAAACAAAATCCAAACACTACCACTTTGATTATTTTATTAAGAACAGGAATAAAATATTGTAGTAAAAATAATTAACGAGCCATTAATTAACTTGATAGCTCTAGAAGCTTTGCCTTTATAAATAGTAATTTAGGAGATAGTGGAAAACACCAAAACCCATCTTCACTGTCTCTATAGATCCCTAGCCATAGGTACCCTTTTGACTTTCCAATCAAGTCAATCACATGAAAAAGTAATCTATTTTGAACTTATATGGTAGACTGATCCATCCATGAACACACTCTGATATAGCTCAGCTTGGAATTGCTTGATATGGTGATGTGTTGTGGGCCACTGGAATCATTCGTTGAATTTACCGGCCATTAAAATCATCGCAATCTTTTTCTAAATCTCCCATGAATCCATAACTCAATTGGGTTTACCTTCAAGAGATTTTCTTGAGTTCAAGCTTCTATTTTATTATGACAAATTTTATGTTTAAATTAAATTAGGGTTGAATTATGTTTTGTAGCTATGTGTGTTTATAACCAAAAAAAAAAAACTTTGTAAATATAATTTATTAGGAATAATTACACTCTAATGATTGATTAAATATAATTTTTGCTCAAATCTTTGTAAGTTTGTTGACCTTTTTTTGTCGAGCCCACGTATACACATCACATTAGGCATCTCTCTCTCTTGTTTTTTTTTTTGCCATGCCCATCTCATCTTACCGACTTTATATATATAGGGCATCTCCCCCTTCCTTTCTCTGAGTTTGTTTCCTAGTGTCTATATAGCTAATCTCTGCTCCCACCCTAGCTTTCTCTCTTCACAGAAACTCTTGTATCTCCTGAAAAGGAATGGAACAGGTACATCTCTTCACGAAGAAACAAAAACCGACCCATATAAGCCATACTCTTTCATTTCCAACCCATGTCCTGGAGGCGTTTTCGTTTCCTCAAGGAGCCCATATGATGAAATTTGAAGCAATCGATGCTACTGATAATGCATGGAAGTTTTGTCTATCAACCCGTCTGACTGGAGCATACCCAAAACCTGTTCTTCTACGCTCTTCTTGGCATCGTTTTGTAGAGCAGAAAGGCCTTGTTCCCGAAGACAGGGTTGTCTTCTTCATGGAGAGAGATGGCATGCTCAGGAGGTACACGGTGAAAGCTCAACGAAAAGTGATGATCTTGATGGGGCAAGATATTTGGGTCGACGTCGAGGATCTTCCCCTGTATGGTCTTTGAAGAGTTTGACCTATAAGCTGTAGCTACGAAAATAGTCTTCACTATCCACCGGTGGTAATTCTAGCCTTATAGCCTAGCTGGAGCCGTTTGGAAAGGCGATTTACTATTGCTTGCTCGGATTTGGTAATGTTAAAATAATAGAATTCTGTTTAATTAGTTAAATAATTTGTTTAGCAGTAATCAATGTCATGCATGAGAAGTATTGTATGGTTTGGCTTTCAAGTTTCTTCCCTCTTCTTCTTGATGCAGTATGCATGCTCCTCGGTGTCCTATGAGCTTAATTTGAATAGAAAGGACATGATGAAGCTAATAAAAATAACTCAATTGTTGGCATAAGTTAACTTCCTTCTATACCCATAATTGTCTCCACCAAAGGTTGACATGAAGCGTGACCATCTCTACCGACCAATCTCATATTTAGTTATTCGCTGGTTCATGTTTTTGTAAGAATCTAAAGAGTCATAGTTTTAAAATCAAAACAGGATTCACCCAAGGTAAAACTCTAGTAATGATCAAGAGGATTGAATCTAATTTTTTTAAAAATCAAAACAATATTTTCATAAAAACAAAAAACGTTCACTTATTAATGTTTGGATTTTGACCAAGTTCATCAAGTTATAAGTCACCAAGTAATTTGTTTTTAACATAAACTAATTCAAGTCTCAAGTTGGCCATATACCTAGTCGATTTATCAAACTGATTTGAATTTTAAAATAAAAAAATCAAATTTATAATTTTGATATTAATATATTAAAATTATTTCAAAATATAACTTTAATTAGTATTAATTTAATATCTGCTTGTCCCCAGTACATTTTCAAAATATTTTATTATTATTATTATTATTATTTTTTAATCTTGGTAAGGTTAAAGATGATGAGGATACAACAACTATTATTAAACCTTACACAATTTAACTTGAAAATTTTAATTTTCAAACTCAAGACTTGATTTAAATTATTGAATTGATAAAATTTTCTTGACAATAATTCGATTGACCCAATTCAATCTCAACCCAATTAACACAAGGAAATCCTTTTTGACCCAATTCAATCTCAACCCAATTAACACCAATTAACACAAGGAAATCCTTTTCAAAAATAAAACAATATTATTTTACTAAAAAAAATTAACTCATATATAAACAAAATTGACTCAATGGATATCTTAAACAAAGTTGACTCATCTTAAGTAAGGAGTCAAGCCCTTGAGCTTGACAGCTAAACTTTCCTGTCATGATAGAGATGTGAACATATTCTAATAATTAAATTTATTAAATTTTACATTTTAAAAATACTTTACAAAAAATTTAAGTTAATATAATTTTCTAAAAAATATATATTTTCATATAAAAAACACAAAACTATTATTATACCATTGAAACAAAACAACCGGTGGTAATGCTGGCGTCATATAAAAAACACAACTATTACCATACAATTGAAACAAACCAACAAGTGGTAATGTTGGCGGCATATGTATACACACGGCCAATGGTGGCAAGAGGCAGTGATTTGATGCTTCGTGATTTATACATGTTAAGTTTATTTGGTGGTGTAGTTATAATTATTTTTTAAGTAATTTTTTATATTAAAATATATATATAAATAATTTTTTAAAAAAAAATTATTTTTAACACTAACCTATTAAAATAATTTAAAAACGTTAAAAATATATTAATTTAAAATAAATAAAAAATAAAATAATTTTAATTTTTTAAAAAAATACTTTTTAAACGCAAAACTAAAGAATCATACAACATGCTTTGAATTTTGTTAACATAAAAATTAAATTTAACAAAAAAAAAAGAAGTTCTATGATGTAAGTAAATGGTTGCACTTTAAATTAATGAATTATAAATTACTAAATCTTTTTTGTTTTCCGTTATCCATATCTCTTTTTTGAAATACGTAAAAGATTCTACTAAAAATTCAATTCATAAAGACATTAATTATTTTGCATAAACCCAAAATTTGAATCATAAGTTAAGTGTGCCTGCCCAATTCAGTCTAAAACATCATTTAAAAAAATATCAAATCAAATCTCACAACCAGATCAATAAGCTAAGTTGAGGAAATTTACCCAAGTCATGGTTACATAAAACCTGACCCAGAGTAAGACTAGATCCCAAGTCAACAGTTTTACCTGAGCAAGCCGGTTTTATAACAATGATTTAAAGCATTCTTATGAAGACGACTAACCTTCCTGCTCATCCAAAATGGACAACCATCTGGTCGACAGGGATGGTGAAGTTCAACTTTAATGCTGCCATTGATGTTTAAAATAAGGTGGCCAAATTGGTTCTTCCATTCAAGTCTACTGAATCATGCTCGTCGAGCTAACAATAGAGCTGCTCATGCGATGGCCTTCTAGGCTAGGTTTAAGGGTGATAAATGTATTACACTGGGAAGATCCTAGTGATTGCAAACTCTGATGTATCTTAGCTGTTTTTTTTTTTTTTAACTCTGATGTATCTTAGCTGTTTTTTTTTAAAAAAAAATGAAAGGAAAACAAGCTGCCAAGGAAGATGAAAAAAAATTAAATGCATAATTAAAAAACCTAGAAAACCCTCTAACTATGTAAATCTGGCAACTCTTTTGCGCTAACCCACCAGACAACCACACGCACCAATTATCTCGACTAAGGTTTCCATCCACAAGAACTACTCATTTACTAACCACCATACAAGTTTCACAGGGTCTGAGCATTAGAAATCTAGAGCTAACCCAGGCCATTAGCATACAAGTAGAGAGCTTAGATCAAATTGTCTTTTATATGTGTTTTGCAGCACTACACTTGACTGATGTATTAATCAAATAGAAAGGAAGTTATAGAGCTACCTTGAAAGTTGGGATAGAACAAGGCATGGAATTCTAAAATTTCATCTGAAACCATTCCCCTGCATCCTCCAAGAATGTTCAGTTCTTGTGATTTATAGAACAAAGAAAGGAACACAAACAGGCTGGCCTTTTGCTCTATATCCGAATCCAACCTTGGCATCCCTGAAATGGAAGATCTCATTAGAAATTACAAGGGTATGCCAGAACAAACATGTGTAATTGAGTAGTTTATAATTTTAAATTCCAGTGTTTTTTATGCACAATAGTTTTTATAATGTTGCCAAATGACCCATAACACTCCCTTGATAAGGTTCCAGAGGGCCAATGACTACACGCTGAACATAACATCAGCCATCTAGAACTACCACTTCCATATGAGCTGCACCCCATGAGGGATCCATATACATGTTCCATAATGCCCCCCAAACACCCCCCCCCCCCCCCCCCCAACCCTCTCTCCTCCGGTCTCTGAAAACAACAAATCATGCAAATTGCAACACTTTAACAAATCAAACATTGTCCATCATCTCCATGGTTAGATGGCATTCACCTCACCAATGTTTGCATAACACAATCCACCATCATTCATCATTGTTGCCATTATTAGTGTAATAATAACATCAATATGCTCCACCATGATGACAACACAAAATTTCTTACACCATAGCTATAATAATTAATTAAATCACTGATCACTTTTAAAAACACCTTGATCTCTTTCATATGATTTCCATAGATCTGCAATGAGAAACTTAGGTAACAATTTATGTATGTATACCATTAATAGTTAGCCATAAATTTTCCGTTATATTTGGAATTCCCCTAATGAGATAAGAAGCTATAGTAGATATCTACATTTTGGTCCAATGTATTGCCAGAGACAATGTTTTGGCAGCAATAACAAGTGAGGTTTGACAGAGATGATAACTGAAACAAAAGAACACAAACTACCTGCCTCAAAAGGAAGACATAAGCTTAAGGTTTCAAAATTCATTAATGTCACTCAGGTACATCACTCAGTTCGTCTGCAAAGAACTCCCACATTTTATGATCCAGGACACTTAAGTCATCGAGATCTGCAATGGCGAGCAAGTAATGTGTGAGCTTCACTAGCTCCTGATCATTATCTCGATTTGCATGAGCCTTTCGGAATGGCTTGATTACCAAACCATTTTGCAGGTTCATCATGAAATTTCTTCGCAGATCGTCAAACATTATAGTGTTTTTTGAACTGTAAAACTGAACCAAAAAGAAAGCATGTCAACTTGTGGTGCTTGACAATTGGACTTCATGCAAGAAACAAAATGGTTCCATTTTCTCCACGGTATTTGAAAAATATTAAAACATGGTGCAAGTCAGTATGTCACTGTTATTTGGGTAACACATTGACGATGGAAAATAATACACACGTGTCTTAAAGTTGCACCTCTGGGAATTTAGCCCAAATCAACCCAAGTGGCTTGCATTCAAAGATCCCACAAGAGTCTGACTGAACTGTAATCATTGCCGAGTGGTCTAAAAGAGCTGTGATTTTGTAGTTAGGATTGTTGAGGACCCCCAACTGTCCCATCTTCAATTCAACCCACTTCATGCTGTAGAAAAGAGGTACATTTAGTATTTTACTCTTTTGGAATTTTATATTGTGTTAGTCATTTTAATTTTTAGTATTATTTAGGAATATTAATATTTACAATTTAGTAGTAAAGTAGGAATGTTGAGTTATTATTTAGTAGGTTTTCCTATTTTTATAGGGATGTTTTAATTTTTAATGCTATTAGGATCTACTTTTCCTATTTCTATTTGGTTGGTGCCATTAAATATGCTAGTTGTGTTTTGAGCATTGATTGATCAAATAAATTGAGTTTTCCACAGAATTGGTTCTCTTGAGTGTTGTGTTCATGTGTTTACAACTGTTTCTGCATCACTTCATTTATCAGGCTTGGGAAGGGGAGGAAAAGTAGAAAGCCAGCACAAAGAAAGAGAAAAAATCAAAGTAAATTGAGGATCTGACCTGGTTGCGGACCATATCATTATGTCATATTCTGCATAAATGGCAGTGAGAAACTCATGAAGATCTGCACCAGATGACAACATTAGAAATTAACTGTAACAAAAAATTCCTACAACCTAGCTACTTACATGGTCGCATGAGTTCAAGTGGAGTCTCTGCTGTGGATCGGTGATCAAACAGCGTATAGTCAATGTCCAGAACAAGCAGTTTCTTCCCTGGACGACATGGATTTTTAAGTTCAATCTACAGATCCAAACACAACAAACATGGACATTACTCACAAGCTTTGTGCAGAAAAATGAAGTATCAAATCGTGCATGCAAATTAATGTCAGTTTAGAGGTATCATGCCATACTTGGTAGATAAAAACCATGGGTCCTTGTTTATGATTAGGTACATAATAGGCACTTTTTATAATCTTCTGTGCAGAGAAAACAAATGGTGGAAAATATAGAGGAAACAACAGCTTGGTTACTAAATACACAAAGCACCGGGCAACACTTATGCACCAGCTAGATGAACATTTCACCTCAACATTAAATGCACTCCAATTATCAGACACCATCCCTCCATCAAAATAAAGACCAAAAAATTAAATAAATAACCTTTCACAAAATTTCTTTAAGATGTCCCCATCCATTAAGTAGACACATGCACATATACATGTACATATACCACTTTGTGACATTTTGACCTTCCACTCCATTAAATTCCTTATTTTTTATCCTCTTTCAAAAACTGAAAGTTAAGAGAATAGTTTACAAAGCCAAAGATAATTTGCTATATTGTCTAGCGACTGAAACACATGCAATCAAGATATTGATTAAATCTCAAAATTTGCAGCCACAGACTAACGAGAAGGTGGTAGTGCTCTGGAATAGATTTCATAAGACTTCAATAGGCAATTGAAATCAACTTTTATTACTTAAAAACCAACAACATAATTTTGACAAGAAGCATTTAGATATATGTGATTTCAGATATATAAGATGACTAGGTTAACCAAGACAAAAAGGAAGGCTTCAACATTGTCGCACCCTCGCGAGCAGAGCGCGGCGTCGCGGCGACCATCAATTGATTTCGGGGTCTCTTAGTTTTATTTTTGTGTAAAAGGGAGTCGCCACCTAGTATTATGGTCACTAGGAAACCTAACTGGTCTTTCAGAGATTCTAAGGAAAGAGACTGGTTGCGTACGGGGAAGGGTTTAGCACCCCTAGTACGCCCTACCTAAGGTAAGCTGCTTGGTGTTTATCTTATAATTGCTATGGTGTTGGTGTTTTCTAATCTCGTCAGTTTTTTTTGGTTCGATTGTAACTAAATTTCTTAAGAAAGAAATC